TGAAAATTTCAAATTATAAAGAAATTTGTAACTTCACACAAACTGTAAAATTAATTAATTTTCATTTAATTAAACATATATTTCTAATTCTTCTTAAACATTTACATAAATTGTGCGCAAAATAACAATAAAATGTTAATATAAATGAAGTGAAAAACTCGTAATTTCCAACAGTAAGCAATACTGATTTCGTTACCGGCACAGTGTGCCGAAGCACAGCGATTTTTGCAGGCAAATAATTAAAAAATTATTAGTAATAATTTAGTAATAACTTTCATTACTTGTAATTAATTTTACTTCATTTCTGCACGCAAATAATGACAAAATAAGTTTTAGTAGTTTTTTTGCTTAATATTAATTTTAGCTTATTTAACATATGCATACATTTAGTTTTTGTTTGTTTCAATTGTTTTTGGCACAAATTCACAGTTTTACTCGCTGCAGCTGCGGCAAAACGAGTAGCTCTTCTTCATTTACATGCTTAAAGTTTTATTTATTATAACTTATATTATTTTTATTTAATTTTTTTATTTTTGTTACTGTGGAATCTTAATTATTTAGTTAGGCGAATTTTCATGTTTTCACATTTCCTTTTACTTTCTTTTTGTAGTACTTCTAAAGTATTTTTACACTGCTACTTTGACTCCACTTGCTTTGGCACACATACATACAGAAAAATACAGTTTTTTTGTAATAATTTAAATGAATTTGTCTGTATGCAGTTGTCTTCGTTTGAGACGTTGCGGAATTATTCACAAATCTATTTACAAATTTAATTAGGACCGTCTCTATAAATGCCGTTAGACGTTGTGACACATTTCGCTTAACTAGACTTTATCACCAAACATTTTTACCTACACACATGCAGATGTACAGATTTTTGTTTCGCTGCTTCATTTCTTCTTGGCATTTGGTAACTTCCCCTCATTCTTGTTTCGTTTTGTAGTTTGTCGCTGATTTTTAGTTTTGTTCAGTGTTGCATATAGGAAAATGTTTATTAGTTAATAAAAAATCGTTTGTAGTTTTTGGTTTCTTCTTTTGTATTTTGCGTTTTCGCTTTACGTTAGCTTTGTTTTGTGTGTTTACTTTTGTCTTGGCTTTCAGCGTTTTGCCGCTGCTTACTTATTGTTGCTTTTTAAAAATGCTTTTTGCTAAAGTCAATCGGATGCTTAAGTTCGTGCAAATGCGCATGCGCGTATGCAACGACAGCTGTATATACATATATATAAGTGCATATATACAGGTCCTTACACACACCTATGCATAGGAAAGGCATGTACTTATTTTTTCAATAATTATTTCCTCACAAATTTCAGTTCAGTTTTTCGTTTAAATATGCTTTTGCAGCAACATGACAACTATACTTTACAAAAAGAAAAGCAACAACTTTTTGAAAAAAAAAATATTAATTAAATTTCAATTCTTACTAAATATTTTGTACAGTGTAGTGGAGTCATACTTTATTTTTACATTAATGCTCCGCTCTCAATTACACATACGAACTAAAACGATTGCTTTCTAATAAACATACAGACATTTACACACGCACACACTCATATGTAAATATGTAATAGTATTTCATTTCGTTTGGAAACAACCGTGTTCATTTACATAACTTGGCGCACGCGCTCTTCACAGATATCGCTCTCTCTCTCTCTCTCGCTCACTACATTTGTTTACCCCTTTCCGCATTCCTTTGACTTTTCTACCTTAATAAATATAATATTTACAGACACATAGTTTCTCTAAATATACATACATATATACGTTGTTGTATTTTGTTTAGTTTTCGAAAATGTGAAATCAAAAAATTTAGTTGACATTCAAACAATGATTAAAATTCTTTAAGAATTTAAGATGTCTCTAAATCCGCTACACTAACAACTATGCTTGCATTTATCCATACTTTCGTTACATATTACATATGTATATATTTAGAATTGTGTTTCTCCCAGTGTATTATTGGGAAAAACTGCTGCCTTTACTTGTAGTTAATTTTTATGCGCAGTTTTCTCTTTTTAGCGTTTCGCTTTTATTTGTATTCGTTTTTGTTGTGCAGAATGCTTCTGTGGCATCACATTACATGCGTTGTGTTGTTCAGTGTTCACCTTGGTTTACGTTATTGTTGAGAGTGTCGTTAGTTTGGTGGAGGGCGATGCCATTGGTGATGGCGTCGGCACAAAGAGACTCGACGAGGCTGTCTCGGTGGTCATGCTGCGCTCTTCGTAGACACGCTCCTGAAAATATTACAACGAGGATAAGCATATGGCTAGCAATAAGTAGGTGATGTCTAACAATTTAAAGGTGGCTCTTAAAGACCTCACTGCAAACGACTGCTCTTAAACTTACCAAAAGATTGATTTCAAAGGATGTTGATCTTAGCTATAGTAATTTTTGCTGTTATAATAAGATTCTTGTTTTTCTAGTCATCTGGTTGTCATTTCGTTATCTGTTATTTCTATATTATATGATTTAAAGACTTGAACGAGAGTTTAGACTAATCATCTTGGGTTAGGCAAGAGGAGGTGAGTTTTATTGTGGAAAAGAAGGTGTTATACGAACTTGGTAACTGGGTCAAGTTTAAAATGGTTCCGAGGTTGCATCTAGATCATTGAACTAATAACATTTCGTTGCCTTATGCGTTCTCTAGGTCTTTATAGACCCTGTTCTCACCGCTTTGACAGTGTTTCTGATGAGCTACCCTTTAAACTATTGCCTCAAAGGATAGTAAGAAGGTTTTATAAAATTTGAACACAACTAATACAAAGCCAGTGATAAACTATATGCATTATAAGTTAGGTTAATCTGGTAGGCCAATGAGCCACGCATAGCATAGTGTTGGTCCTTTGCGATAACAGATGGAGTTCAGTTACTAGTTCCTTTAGGACGTCTGCGCTTGACGCGAATTTTAACAGACTCTATAACCTCACAACCGATACCTTCTCCAGTGTGTCATACCGTGGGACCCCATACGCTCTATTGTTTCCCTATTGCCTTGCTCTACGCATTTCTATTTATTGTTGTAATACGAAATTTGGTCAGAGCTTTATATTGTCGGCTAGGGTGCGACGGTCAGGTAGCACGGAGTGGTGGTGAAATCTCATGTCACGCACCAAAAGCTAAAATACGGTAAACTCAGAATACATTATAGACACACTTTTTTCACTCTTATCTCACTTCTTTTTAAAGCTGTTAGCATTTTCACTTTAATTATAGGGCACCCTAAAACCTTCTGTCTTTGAACCTCTGCTTAAAAGTTTGTCACCAATTTCTTAAAATATCCCGTACGATCTAACAAGCTAAAACTTAAAGAGATGGATACATAGACAAAGTTAGAGACGGTTTCAATATTTGTTCGAGGAAGAAGCTGCCGTATAAGACATCAAAATTTCAAAATTTATATAAGAATTATATAAGTTGATAAGATAATGGATAAACTTGGAGAGCTTGTCCAAGTGTCAGTTTAAAGAATATCTCGATTTCACGACTGATTGCTTTCAAAATCAATGAAATATACTTACATGTGATTTATCGTACTTAAAGCGTTTCCAAATGTTTGTCTTTGGTTCCATTGGTGTGCCATCCACATTGTAATTGGGGTTTGAGAAGGTCAACACCGAGCGACTGGAACCACGCGCGTGCCTTTTCGTCTTATTACGCTTCGAATTGAACATGAGAACTGCAAAAAAGTAAAAATAAATTATAAAACAGTTCATATACCTCCGCCGACAGTCTGCTACTCACATAGTATAGCTGCTATGATTACGATCAGCATAAGGATCACCACACCGCTAGCGATGAGTATGAGCGTCTCACGCTTACTCGATTTCGAGCTGGCGCTATAGTTGTCATCATCATGCTCCGTTGAGCTACTCTCGCCATCCGTGGTCTCCTCTACATAATCTGGCGAATTATCACCACCATTAGGACGTGGTACTACAAATTTAGGTGTCATTTTGCATTCACGATCATCCGGTTGATCGGGACACGCGCACACATAGTCCGCACCGCGGTAGAGGCAGAGGTGAGTGCAACCACCGTTTTCTTGTGCGCATTGATTCCACTCCTCGGGTTGACGTTTGATTGAGACAGCGCGTATGTCCAGCGCGCCATTAAGTGAGTCCCGTATCTCCACGGGATTGCTGTAGCCGCGACCCTTACGATATGAGCGATATACGGATTTGTTGTACCAATCGGTCCAGTAAATGCTGTTGTCGAACTAGAAAAGCGAAAGTTTTCAACTCGTACAAATTTAGTTAAGTCCTTCAGTTGCTTACCATTGTGAGACCGAAGGGGTGCGGCGCATAGTCGATAATTTTAGTTTTTCGCTTGCCGTTGAAGTCCACCGAAGCAATGTTATCTTCTAGCGCATCAGCCCAAAATAGACGACGGTTGCTGTGTTTAAAATTGAAGAAAGTTTCAAACTAGTTTCAGTTGCTTACTATAGTCATGTAAAAACTCACTCAAAGTCCAGCGTTAGGCCGGTAGGGAAACCCAGATTCTCCGTCACAATTATAGTGCGATTCGAGCCATCCAATAAACTACGTTCTATGCGTGCCGGCGCATCCCAATCGGACCAGAAGAGATATCTAAATAGAGCTTACAATAAATACCATTCGAAGTCCTCAATTAGTCAATTTCACAAACCCTTTTCGTGGATGCACGATTAGCGCACGTGGATCACCCAAATCGTCGGAAACAATCTCTTTGCGACAGCTACCATCCAAACGCGCCACTTCTATGATTTTCCGATCTGTATCGGACCAATACAGGTTATCCGCAATCCAATCAATCGCAATGCCATTCGGTGTCAATAGTTCTTTGTTCACAATGGTCTTGCTGTCGGACAAATTGGTAAGATCTACACGTCGTATAACATCTGAGTTGACGTCGGCGAAGAAAAGCCATTTCTTGCGATAATGAAAGTCGAGCACCACAGCGCCATGCACGGCATTGATGGGTAGCACGACGTCCATATAATCGGGCATATTGAGTGAGATCATACCGATGCCAGAGCGTTGTGCAATGAGCAGATATTCCTGTGAGAGTCAGAAATATTGGCTTTATATATTTCAATCATGATTGAATGGGAATTTATAAGTTTTTTTTTTGTTGTATAGTTCTATATTAAAAAACTTTGGCCTAAAATAGAAATGCTTTTAGAAATAAAAAAAAAACCTCAAATTCGCTAAAGTTTTCAAATGTAACCATTAGACCGTACTGAAAATACTTTTCCAATTCAATATTAAGCACTTCGAAACTCACATCAGGCAAGGTCTGGCATTGACTGGTACTACCCTCCTTCAACTTGAGTCCAATCGGGCATCTGCACGAGAAACCGGTTGGATTGCGTAAACAAAGATGGGAACACCCGCCATTGTTTGAGCCACAGACATTTTCGGGTTGTGTTTTGTTAACCTGTGTATAAAATTTACAAATCGTGAATAGAAAATTTCATGGTTTCATAATATTGTTTACCGTTATCACTTTAATATCCATCAGCCCATCAATATTTGTCATGATCTCCTTTTTCGCTGTGATATTTCTACGATCTGTCATGTGCAGAGCTTTTGATTTCCAATCAGTCCAGTAAATATGCTCATCAGTCATGGCTAACGCATACGGATGATGCAATGATGACATTATCAATTTACGCTGATTACCGGTATAATCACATGAATCGATAGTCTTCAATTGTGCGTCTACCCAATAGATACGTTTCGTCTTCAAATCCAATGATAAACCATTCGGCCAACCAAGATTCGATGTGACAATACGCTGACGACTCTCGCCGTCCATGTGAGAACGTTCGATCTTGCGATAGTGACCCCAATCGGTCCAAAATAGCAGACCTGCTTCATAGTCCAGTGCCAAACCACGTGGTGATTCCAGATCTTTATAGGCGATCAAGTGACGATTTTTGCCGTCCAAGCTAGCGACTTCGATGGTGTGACGTCCAGCATCAGCCCAATAGATCTGCAATAAGTGAATTTAAAAATATCTGCTTTGCAATTTTGAAAGCAGTCTTGAAGGTTTACCGTTTTGCCAACAGAGTCCACAATCAAACCATCAGGATTATCTAAGCTTTCACCTATAATTTTGTGTACATTTAAGCCATCAGGCGTGGAGCTCATAATCACATGCTGCTTAGAGTCGGACCAATAAATCACGCCTGTTGTCGAGTCTACATCCAAAGCGACCGCATTTCCAATCGGTGGCATCGGCAGCACCACGTCGATGAAGTGCGCAAAGTCCAATGAGATTTGTCGTATGTCGATGCGGTGCGCGAATATAATGAAGCGGCTGGGACCCTCAGCACAGGTTCGCAGATCGCTCTGTATTAAGGGAAGCATTATGTTATGTTATAAAAAATATATTTTGAAGTACTTACCCGCAATTGTACTCCCACAGGACAAGCGCAAGTGAAACTCGCTGGGTTCAGTAGACAGAGATGGGAACAGCCGCCATTATTAGAACCACAAGCATTATGTATACTCCTACGTGAGCGATGGAACACGCGTATATCCATCAAATCGCTGGTATTCGCAATAATTGTGGTGATATTCTGACCCGTAAGCTTGTCGGCGCTGAAGGCGGACTTGTTGTCCCAATCCGTCCAGAAGACGCGGTTTTCACTGATATCCAAACCGAAAGGATGACCAAGGTTGTCTGTGAAGTTAAAATAAAAAGGATTCGCAATATATCAATAAACCATTACAGAGTTTAGCGATTCTTACTTAATATTGTTTTACGTTTGCCGCCATTAAAGTCCATACTTTCAAGCGTCTTCGTACCGCCATCTACAAAATATAACCGTTGCTGACCGTAATCTATGGCTAAGCCGTTCGGCCACTTAAGGTTCGTATCAGCGACAATTACTCGTTCGTTGCCGTCCATATTAGCACGCTCTATCATAGCATGTTCACCCCAATCCGACCAGAACATGATGCCCTCTGCGAGTAAAAAATTAATAGTTTGATGTTATGGCAGGATAATATCAAATATATTATTTCTATTTCGACTCCTCTATTTTGAAGGCTGCACTAACCTATCGGATTCACGACAATATCGCGGGGTTTATCGAGCTTCTCCCAAATTAGTAGCGTACGTTTCTTGCCATTTGTTGTTGCCACCTCGATACGATTAGTGGCAGGATCGGTCCAGTAAAGTTTATCTGTAATCCAGTCTAATGCCAAACCAGCTGGTGAGACGAGATTCGAATGCACGACACGCTGTTGGTAGCTACCGTTGAGATGTGCCTTGTTTATCGTACTCCGTTCCACATCGGTCCAATAAATATAGTCCGTTTCACTGCACCAATCTAGCGCGACAGCATGCTTCATATAATCTAATGGCAAAATCATATCCACTTCATTTGACGCTGCTGACTTTGTGCTCAGTTGACGTAATCGTATATCCTTTCGGCGCGCGACAAGCACAAGCTTGTCGGGTATGCTTTTACAGGTTTTACTAAAGAAACGAAATTTAATGAAATTTATTGAAATAAAGTACTTAAGTGAATTTGCATTTGCATTGACTTACCCATCTTCTTTCAATGATAGACCAATAGGACAGCCACAGCGCCGCGAAAGCTTATTTGGCAAGCACAAATGAGAACATCCACCTCTTAGACCGCGTCTGTCTTTTTGACAACGATCCGGATATTCTGGTTGTCTCGCTGGATGATAAGCGTGTATATCCATTGGAAAGTGGAAGTTCTCATGCACCGAACGGAAACCCTTTCCGGTAATCTTATTAGCGGCCGAGACGGTTTTCGTATTCCAATCGGTCCAGTACATGGTATCTTCGAAGATGGTTAGCGCAAATGGATGCGGCAAATGTGTGCTGAGTATTTTCACACGCTCAGTGCCGTCAAAGTTGGAGGACTCAATTGCGTGCTGTTTCGCGTCGGCCCAATAAATCTTCCGACTGGGGTAGTCTATAGTGAGACCGTTGGGCCATGTAACTCCATTCGCAATAATCACTTGCCGCTGAGAGCCATCCATATAAGCACGCTCAATTTTCGGATTAGGACCTGCATTAAAAGAAAATTAATAATTCGTGATATTTCTTCTATTAACTGCTGTTCCTGCAACGTACCCCAATCGCTCCAGAACACCAACGCCTCGCCAGGGTGTATAACAATGGCGCGCGGTTTATCCAGATCGTTCGAAGCGATAACTGATCGCAGCGTACCCATAAAATTGGACACTTCTACACGTCTCGTACCCGAGTCAGTCCAGAAGAGTAGATCATGCACCCAGTCGACAGCTAGGCCACCAGGCGATTCCAAACCCCACTTGATAACATCTCGCAACCGTGAACCATTCATGTGCACCATTTTAATTACGTCCGTAGAAACATCCGACCAGAAGAGTAAACCTTTACGATAATGGAAATCAAGCGCGATTGCGTTATGCAAACCCTTCACTACAGCCGAGTAACGGTTATTGCTCAACTGTACACGCCTGATGTCCCAACGATTGGCCACAACCAATGTCATCGCGCCACCAAGTGCCTTACAAGTGCGTAGATCTGGACGTAAGACGTAGCCGGTTTCGCAGGAGCATTTGAATGAGCCGTGTGTATTCTGGCACTTTTGTGAGCAAACTGGACTCGTTATATATTGACATTCATCGATGTCGGTGCAACTGGCAAATGAAAGGAGATTTTATGGTATATGAAAATATCTGTATATTATTCAACAGTAATAACTGCCTTACTTTCGACGGTTTTCGTGCATAAGAAAACCAAGATTACAAGCGCATTCCTCTCGCCCCTTCGCTGTAGTAATACATAATTGCTCGCAACGTGAGTTCTCGCCGCAGGTACGTGGGTGTGGACAGTTCACTTCATCCTCACCTAACGGACAGTCATTCTGCCCATCGCAGACATGCTTTTGGTGCACACAAATTCTGCAAAAGTAAATGAAGTTATAGAAAAGAAGCAAAAATAAAGTAGATGAGGTCACTCGTACTTCAAATTTGTTATGTTCTTCTTGGCTGGACAAAGAAATTGTCCGGGATCACACTGCAGGTGACATTCTACCTCATCCTCGGCAGACGAACAATCCGGGTAGCCATCACAAAGCCAAGTATTCTAGTAGTTAGAGGTAAAAGTATAATTTGGAAGATCATTAACTGTGCTGAAGGGCAACCTACCAGTATACAACGTCCGTTGTGACATGTGAATTCGTCTGGTCCACATTTGGTCGGCGTACTCCCTATCATATTGCCACAATCGTGTTCATCCTCACCACCCTCACAATCTTGTTCCTTATCGCATTTCCAGCGTCGCGGTATACAGCTACCATCGTTACATTTGAATTCGCTTGTCGTACAATCGGATGGCTTTTGTGGACAATCCTCTTCATCACTCCAATCGCCGCAATCATTATCGCCATCACAATGGAAACGGTTCAATATGCACTGTCCGCTCGGACCGCCATGACTGCCACGGCACTTAAATTCACCTTCCGGACAGCGATTGAAGACCGCGGGGCATTTGAGTTCGTCGGAATTGTCATTACAATCGCGTTCGCCGTCGCAACGAAAGGCGATCGAAATGCAGTAGCCGTCATTGCAAGTAAAGTGCTCGGCTGAGCAACTAATTGTGCGTGAGAGAGATGGATAGCAGTGTTAAAAAGTTGCATTTGGGAGAAGAATAGAGTGAGCAAATGAAATATGCAATAGAAATCGAGAGCTACGGCTGCAGGACTAATAATTATATAGAAACAGTTTATCGCATTGCGGCGCATGTATTCTCTTCGATCTTATGGAGCTTCGTAGAGCCTAGTCTTGCAAGAAATCTCATTGTATAGCTTATATATGTTTTATGGAAAGAATCTCATTCGCTTTACTTGAAGTTCTTCGAACTCGAATTAAGCCTAAGACTGGTCAAAAAGTTTCTACTTACCTCGTGCGATTACAATGCGCTTCGTCGGAGAAGTCCTTACAATCATTTTCGCCATCACAAACCCACTGCTTCGGTATGCAGAAACCATTTTGACATTCAAACTGATCATCGTCCGAGCAATTCATACGCGCCACATTTGCACCGCAATGCGTCTCATCCGAATAGTCACCGCAGTCATCATCGCCATCGCACAGCCATTCCTTGTTGATGCAACGATACGTGCGCGGACACATGACATGCATGCCCGTCTGTTCACAATCCTTCTGCAATTTATGCAACATATCGCCAATCACTTCACAATCGAACTCATCAGCACCATCGTCACAGTCGTTCTTCTTATCGCAGCGCGCACTCTGATCAATACAGGTACATGTACTGAGGCATAGCCATTGTGTGTCGCCGCACACATTCTGACAGGTGTGCGCATAGCCATCATTGGGACTCATCAGGTTACCCTCATCGCGCACGCTATTAATATGCGGTCGAAAGACTGTCTCCTTGTGATGTCGCATATAACCTTCACGACCTCGCGCCATTTCACCCATATGATCATCGGATTCTTGCACACTATACAGATCCGTACGACTAATACCGCTGCGCGCACCAATATCGCGGAATCTGGTGCCGCCGCCGCCAGCATTATTTTGCGCTGCAGCGGAATTCGCTTTGTGTGACGACTGTTGCTGCGACTCGGTGGTGTAGAGTTCAGGTGCATATTGTGCGAAATAATCGGCGTCGGGATGTTCATGCGGCGGGAAGTCTGATGGATGAAAGTCCACACCATCATGATCGTCTAGATGATACTGCGTGTGTGCATCCTTTGGCGTTTGTTTTTGCTTGAGTGCAACAGCGTCGCCTACACCACCGACGGCTTTACTGCTAGCGCCCGATCGAAAGAGGCGCTGCTGCTGTTCCTGGTGCTGACGCTGCAACGCAATGCTGTCGCGTACAAAACTGGAGCCCAGCAGCTGGCGCGCCGAGCCATGCTTGACCTCGCTGTGTACGCCCGATAAGCCGGGCCATGATGTCGTATCGTCATTCCCGCCTAGCGCTGTGGGTGGCGGATCAAATGAAAGCATAAAGATATATACAAATTAGTGGGACTGAGTCAAGTAGGCAGTAGGATATTTTTGAATGTGTCTATATAAGCTAAAAGTGGCAGCTAAATTGTATTAGTTAACGAACTTAAAGTGAATGTATGCAGCACTTCACCGCAGTCGTGGCAGTCAGCAAATTTTCGCTGCAATCCCCATTGCAGCTTGCGCTGATTTAATGAATGAAATCGGGACGTTTTCTTCTTCAGGCGTTCGCGCTCTGCAGCGCTTAGCTGACATTTTAGGGTTTGAGGCTTTTATATCTTAGCGCTGCTCACTTCAGCGTCTAATGCTGACGAAGTGTGTCGCATGGCGTTGTCTACCAGTGCCCTTGCCAAGTTCCAAGCTCATCAGTTGCCGATGCTGATTTTCGTCTGTCCGAATCTATGAGTATTGGTATTAGTTGTGTCGGGCGCATGCGCCACATTTTCATATGCGACTTTCACTTTTCTACATTGTTTATGTTGTTTTTGTCGCTGTTATATTTTATTGCTTCGGTGCGCGTTGTTGCCGCTGCTGAATGGAAAGTGAGGCGACGGACAGCTGAACTTTGCCGAAACACTCATTCATGATACGACAGGCACGAGCGCTCTTCGTACCCATATATCATGAGACATGTAAACGGCAGGTGGGAGAGCACAGCATACTTGATGAGAGTGTGTTCTTAGAGGAAGAGCGATGACATTCAAAATGATTGAGCAGGCGGAGAAAGTGAGCGCGCAAAGTGACTTTATCAATGAGCAACAGCGAACCGACTTCGGAAAGAGTGCCCAAAAGCTTACAACATCGTAGGTATTTGCCACTCGCTGTGCCTCGTGTGCTGTGGAGGCCAAATGGTTACAGCGCGGAAGCCACTCAAATAGCGTGGGCATGCGAAACTTTCCACAAGCTTAGACGCAGAGGCGCATATATGTAGGTATACCGCACACCAACACAACAAAAAAAATCCCGTTAAGCGCACATATCTACATGAGTACAGGGTGTAGTGAAGTGCGCCGAATGTCAGCATCTACTATGTATGTATGTATGTGCAAGCCCTTCGTCGACACACATATGTTTGCATATGGATGTATTGGTTTGTGTATTTATGTGGAAAATTGTAGGCAACAAAATGAAAGAACTTCTCAATTGCACGCACCGACACGACGATGCCAAGGACAAGGCAGCCGAATCGAGCTATTTGATGCTGCTTCGCGCACAGCCGACACACTTCGAATTGATTCACAAAACGGACAAGGACGGACAATCGGTTTGCTGAATCGCTGTTGGAACACGCGAAGCGGTGAGAAGCAGCAGCGAATCTAACATAAAGATATATGTACCTCGAATGGACTGAACTGACCTGTTTTCCCTGTGCGCTATACGTCTTAGCCGTTGACATTAAAGTCTATGCAGCTGCATGGGGTGTTGTTGCCGTTGTCGATTTTATTTGCTTCTTTTGCATTTTTACAATCGCAAGTGTGGAAATAGCTCTCAGGGCTTATAACACTGCTTTGTACAAGCCAAAATAGGTATACAGTTATATATAAGTAACAGTTGTGGCACATACATATATTAACAGCTGCATTGCCACAGCCTGCAGCATGCATCACACACAACTTGATTGAATTATCTAAAGGGAGTGGCTGCGTAATAGTAAAGTCCTTTCGTGCTGCTCTTAGTTAGTTTGGTTCGGAAAGCTTAGATGTATTTATTTTTATTTTTGTAGAAGCATAAGGTTTTAGTAAATTATTTGTTTCAAATAAATAGTGAAAATTTAATTAGCTATCTTGTCTTCTTTAGCTTATATATAACGCATAACGTCCGAAACGCAGTTCGGAAAGACTTGAATGTTTGCACAAGTCTTCCTTTAATCCTGCAGAAGGGCCTTACCGAAGTCTTTCGTATAAAATCACCGCCCATTTTGCAATACATACCAATTTGGTTGAAAATTGGTGAGGAGGTAGACTGATACCTCGGAACGGGTACAGGATACTTTTTATAGTTTATGTTCAAACTCAAAACAATCCATATCTAAAAGGAGCAAAAAATACTAAGACCTTGTTATAAAATTGGTATTTTATTATTCAAAATCTATGTCATTCCCTCAAAGTAATCCACCCTGATCACTATACACATGTGCTAACGTTTTCACTCCTCAAAACAGTGATTAAAGTCAATTAGCCGAACAGCATTCAATAAGCGGACATTTAATGTCTTCGTTTACTCAAAACGGTTTCCCGGATCGGCCGTTTGAGTTCCTGAATAGGTAGAGATCACATGGAGCTAATTAAAAATTTAGCGAAAAACTCACGAGGAATCAATCCAGCAGTTAGCGACGGAAGAAATTCGGAGTTCACCATACCTCGAAAATCGAAGCAACTGACAACATAATCATGATTTTGGGCATAGTTTTTTCGGCTTTGGTTCATTTTCGTCTTTTTCCGGGTCGCAGCATATTGTTTCACAGACGTTAAAGTGATTTTGTAACCAATCGCGCGTTTGCCTTTCTCACTCTGATCCTTACGATACTTAAACGATGCCAGTATGATATTTATCTGCTAATCGTCGATTATCAAGGACCAATTCCTTTATCCGTTGATCGTCAGTTAATGTTGATGGCACGTTGATCCTGGACGTGATTCGTCGCCAACGCGTTCTCAACCTTTTTTGAATAATTTGAACAAGTTAACACTTGCTGGTGACAAACAATTATCACCGCAGACCTTTACAAACATTATGAACGTTTCGGCACCATAAAATTTATTCCGCACACAAAATTTAATGGTAATTTTGTTTCAATAATTTCACTCGTCGTTAGTCGCCAAATACACTTTATGTACTTCAGAGATAAGCGTATACTAGCCACGGGTTCCGACTAGTATTTTATATTAAAAGTTTATGTTTCTACCCAAGAAGTTGCTTACTTGTTAGAACCTTCTAAATCGGACCGGACCAGCTGACATGCAAACTGACCGCTCCAAGTCAAGATAAAGATCTGCTCCTCTTATTACGTAGCTTCAATAATGGGTAAAAAAAGTCATATATTTTCGTTTGATTTCAAAATTTTCAAGTCTACAGCCTTATTATTTGGTTACATTATTCTCAATTTTATAACAAACAAGGTGATAATAGCCATACTGGTAAAGAAAAATATGCATTCATGTATTGATATTATATATAGTATATTTCCCTGACTGTAGTAGCCGTTAAGGGTGACAAAGATGAGATGAGACGTTACGCGTCTTGCAAGGCCCACGATGGTGAAGCGCCACCAGTAGAACTCTGGAGGTTAGCTAAAATACCTCTAGTAATAGGCGCAGACACCAGTACCAATGCGCATCACACAGTATAGGGTAGCAGAAATATCAACGAAAGATAGACGTATTTACCATTATATAATATTAGACCTACGTTTAAGAAAGCACTTGATGTACTATTGTATATTAGTAAAATAATGACCTTATCTGAAATGTGACTCAAACTCTGAAGTAGAGGTTTGGACAGTTGACTTCAAAAAGGTGTATTGCATCGCGTGCCCTCCAGTACACGCAAAGCGAGGGTTGAGATCACCTTGGTGGAACTAGAAGCACGGATCACGTAAGCGCAGTGTTAAGGAGCTATTCCAATCGGCTAAAACGGGCGATGAGGAAGGTTCAAAAAAGCGAAATAGCTGTTGAAATTGCAAAAGGTGCCCCCGTCTGGCTACCAAACAAGAATAAGAAATGCAGAAGTCCTTAAAAACGATACACTTTTAAAGATCGCTTTGAGTACAAGCAGACTTGCTGATATCATGACAAAACTCACATGTTTTTTACTCACGCGGTCTCGAAAGGATTGTAGGTTAGATTAATGACAGCTCACAACCTACTGACATCACGATGATGCGTGGAGAAAAGTAGTCATGAGACACGCTGCTACACCCCTATGCTTTTGCCCAGTACTATTTAGAACTCATCTTACGTCGTAAAGATCTATGAGGGTTGCAATTTAAAGGACTAGAAGAAATTTGAGACTTAGTTATTAAGTTGCATTTAAAGGCGGCAAACGCGTTGACGTTCTATATGACGAATACTTCACCTCAAACTAAATCGCTCTGTATCGTTATGGAATGTAAACAGACTTCAAAAAGTACATAATGCGTGCTTTTTTGGACGGATGGTTTTCGTTGAAGCAATACTTTTTGCGGAGTTGGTCATTTTGTCAGCTCTTACTTGATTTTTCATCACGAACAGACAAAACAATGGTGCAGTTCGTTCAACCTCCGACGATTGGCGCTCCACTTTATAGAAGATTTTGCGAAAATATCTTTGTTAAGGGGCTAACAAAATCCAACTTTGCAAGATTGAAGCCGAACGACAATCAAAAGCGAACGTCTGAGATGACTATCGATCTCCATTTCCACAAAAAAATATGTTGAATGATAAAGGTCATTTTTGGTTTTATATCCAATCCGATATAGGGAACGAAAAATTTAAGGAAACTACTAGTGAGCGAAAGGCCCCATTGCTGCAAAAGGGGATTGAAAAATGGGTTTCTCAGTCACATGCACGGGATCATTTTAAAACATAATGGGAAACTCTCATTTTATTTACGACCTGTAGTCTTTGGTCCCTCTTCCTGTTGTCACAACATTTTATTTAGCATAGTCAAGTCAAAGAGTATATGCTCTGATGTCACTGCTCTTTGATCACAGAAGCGACACAGATCCGTGAAGTATTACTCTAATCTGTGCAGAGAGTTTTGACGATGTCATTGCAGAACTTAAAAAGGTTATAGTGAAAAACTATCACGTTAACATCAGAAAGAGATTAGAAAATTTTTAAATCTCCTATGGCTTAACTAAATATATTTTGCTTGATACCTTAGGCGGGGTTGCCAAATATGTACCGATAAACGTTAAATATTAGTAAAAAGAAAACGGAAAAACATTTTGAAACACAAGAGGAATTATCACTAAGCTTGATAAACCTTGGCTCTTTGTGATATTTTTCTTATTACAATAAAATTCTATTATTCCTAAGCATATATGTAACAAGTTCTCTTCCTGTATTCTATTTAATTGAGTCTGGTTACTAAATTCTTAAAAAAGACTATACTTGATATTTAATATAAAGTCCGCATACGACACTAAAGTTATTTGCGACCAAGCAACAAGACTATGTTCCTGAGTTTAGTCGGGTAGTTCATCTACGTTTTAATAGAAATTGGAAAGTAATTCAAATCTTTGCTTCAAGATCACTTTTCTGTTCATGATTATAAAGAAATCAATAAAGAAGAAAAGAAAAACATAGAAATAAACAAAAAGAAGGTTAATAAAGGATGATCTATTACAGGGGTTCCTACTTTGTTTAAGAAAAAGCACAGAAACTTCAAATTTCCTAAGGAATGTGTATTATCATTTGAAAGTACATTCTTTGGCATTCATTTTTTGAAAATAAACTGGTAACTGGCGAACGACGTGATGTTTTGCTCCAAGACCTGATCCGAATCGGTACTGACCGCATGAACTTTAGATTTTACATATCTCCATATATAATATATATTTATGTATATCTTAATAGCCAATCGAATGGTCCAAAACGTGAAATTATTAGTGTTCTCACAATACATCCAATGACAGATGCGATGTGTGGGAAGTGGCGCCGTCTTGTTGAAACCAAATGTCGCCGAGATCGCGTGCTGAATATTATCTAGTAATGAATGCTGGGTCTCAAGATAGATTATGGTGTTGGGAATATTCCGATTGATCATGACAACACATTCTTTATAGAACTTCAATTTTCGTATTAAGTTCAATAATTTGTAAAAATTGTTCAGGTGTAAGGGTTTCCTTGCTGAAATGCCCAACAATACTGAACCCAATTTACATGACAGCAAAACACGACTCAAGCGTGATCTGTCAAAAAAGGCTACTGAAAAGAGTACCCCTATTTGGATCACCAGTTATAGGATATAACGGGCCTTACTGCATTTGTAGGACCTAACAAATTCAATTAACGTCGTGGAATTTTGTCATTGCTAATTTGATCATTACCCAATTTGTTTCCTGGTCTTTCCTCATCTATCATCTATTTATATATCTACTAATGAAAATGGTGAGAAATCTCAAAATTTGTTAGCGAGTCTTTCCTAATTTAATCATTTAATAAATAATAAAAAATAAAAGGTTAAGGTTAAAATTTTCTTCCAAGAACTTGATTTAAATCGGTGAGTTAACAGCTAAACGCTATAATGGTCTGAACGGGAAATTTCTTCGGAGATTGTTCTGAGCAATACTGCGTACTAAATTTCGTGAATATATTTTGTCTAATAATATATCTTTCCAAACAAGACTTGTTGCTGATCGTTTATTTTGTATAACAAGTACGTAGGTTGCCTTTTTTTGTTCGGGATTATTTGTTTTTATAATTTTCGAAGTGAAATAACTTAATTAAATTTTTGATGATGAAGCTCCTTTAAGAGCCAGTGTGAAGCGATGGTATGGTGAATTTAATCTATGCCGCAGATCACTCCAAGAAGAATTTCGGAAAGGTTGTACAAAATCCGTTCTTTTTCCAGAAGGTATTGATGCTGATATTGCAAGATCGTCATGTCACTTATGGTCAGATTGAGACAACTATGGGCTTTAGTAGAATTAGCACACATTTATTCGACCACGGATAACTCTTCACCATGATATTGTGAGCTCTGAAGCAACCAATGAAATAACTGCATTTGTGAGCACTCGAAACATCGATTTGATGAGTCATCCTCTGTATATGTAGTCCTGACTTGGGGCGGTATGGCTTTTTTATTTCTCTACGAAAACAATAAACTAATAGTTCAACGTTTTCAGACACCTTAAGAAGGAGTGGATGCGTCTAAAAGCCATGTTTTTGGAGATATCTCAATCGTAGTGGCAAATGTGCTTCGGTAATTGGTTCAAACGCATGCAAAAATGTATAGATTTTAATGGCAAATATTTTGAAAATCGATAAGGCGATTTTCGATGGTTTTAAAATTTGTTTTTGTTCTCGAATCCTGAAATATAAAGGCAACCTTCTTATATGTTATCTGATGTACGGATATTTATGCGAATATTTTAGCTAGCATTGCCTTTAGAAGTAATCCATGTTGAATTTTGAGAAGATATCTTGTAAAACATAAAACTTCCCTTTATCAAAGTTTCATTCTGAATATTAAGTTTGCATTGCGGCTACCTGCGGTGGCAGCTTTTTGTAGAGTAAACGACGTGGTGACAATTTAAGATCGACACTTGAAAAACTGCGAGGCTAGAACGTGGCTAAATCGACTAAGCTTGTCACGCTGAGCACTTATATACATATATAGTAGGTACTAAAGTAAATTATCAAAGTGAAATATAAATTTGCAAAGTGAATAAAATTTTAAAGTCTACATTCTAAAATACCTAGCCCGGTGGGTAGGTATATGCACTTTTTTAAACGCGTTTTTCTCGAAACTACTTTTTTCCACACGGTACCGGCATTATCTGAAGTTCTATACAACCGATTTACTTGAAATTTTGTGTGAACTTTCATTATATAATCCTTAATCCTTTGTTTTTAATATTTTAAAAAAATTCAGGAAATTCAAAAAAACAAAAAAAGAAAAAAAACGTAAGACATGATTTTTATTTTCAGGGAGTCGCCATTTTCAAAACAAAAAAAAAAAAAAAAAAAATTCGTGTTCCCTGAGGAACAGCATCCTTACTGATTAAGAATTTCTTTTAATTTTTTTTTTTTAGACCACCAGGAGAGTCAGTATCAATGTCACCAGGATGCGCCATTTTTTTACACCTGTCTCTATTTGTATTCTATTTTTTTGTAAAATTTTTTTTTTCTGTATTCTTAAGATATCAGTAAAAACACCATAAAAAAAATGGATGGCAAAAAATATTTTTTGGTTTTTTTTTTGGTTTTTTTTTTTTAATAAAATTCGAAAAACTGCCCGAAATTTGATTTCTAGACTAGACTACCTCCTTAAGCCCTTTTCCACCGACTTAACTGCACTTAAGTGCACTTGTGTGATTGTTCTTGTTCGGGTGAGCGCCAAACTTAAAACAAATCGTGGGAATAACAAAGTCTAATCATCGATTCATCAGTCCAGAGCACTATTTGGCAAAAGCTTTGAATTTTTAATATGTGCTCTTCTTATAATGTTTGTTGTTCTTTCCTATTATCCTCACTTCGTTAGGGTAGCTTTTTACCTTTTCCTTCTAATACTGACAGTGTGCACTGCGTGGTACTTCTTGCCTTCTTTTAGAAACTTTTGGAATGGATTTGAAAGGATCAGAATTCTAAATATTCAAAATTCATTTATCAGCTCTCTCCGTTGTAATTTTGGGCGCCCTTGTTTCTTCTTCCTGATAACTTGATTTCCTTTCTGGTAGTAACTTTCCACATTACGACTATCTTTACGCAAACTAATTATGGCTGAACGCTCCTCAATCGTTAATTGTTTAAAACTCACAATTTTCAACTCACATAAATCAAATTTTTTAATTCACTGTAAAAAAATCGCTTAAATATTTCAAACCATTTAATAAAAAACCACAGCTTTACTAACCAAATCAATTTCAAAGCTTATAAAATAAAGAATTTTTGCACTTTACGATTTTCTGTAATCTATTTTCAAGTTTTCATAGAAAAACACTAATTACAGCACTTCATAACTTGGTCTTTCACACTCACCGAGCATTTTTATAGAATGAAACGCAAGTTTCCATGAAACGCAGATTTCTCTTGAGTATCGAGTAGTTATAGCATATAACTGTTAAACATTTATGTAATAGGTAATCTGTGGACCAATAATTAATGCCCTAAAGAGGTTCTAAAGCCTGTTAAATGAACAATGCACTTCTCTGGGAAATCAATCTGTGGCTTTAGTAATTTCTTCGAAGGGTCAAAACATCATTTCACAGTGTGGTAACTAAAATCCTTATGGGAGAATGGTCGTTTGATCTGGATAAACGAATATGGAAGTCCATCTATAGTTTACTCTTAAATAAGAAAATAGTGGTAGGTAATTTAGAAATACCATTTTAAACCCAACACACACACAATAAAGTTTTGAAAGCAGTACAGCTCTTTTAGATTAGATAAGGTATATTGTGATTTTAAGTGAGGTCACGAATAATATCACTTGGATACTAAATACTCCTTCGAATATTACTACCGAGGCCCGAAAGACGCTCGTCCGTTGTGTTACGCAGAACTCCTAGGCATGGAACAAAAAACAAAAAAAAAAAAACCGTCGCATATCGACAAAACGCGTCGACAACTCCTCCGTTGTTACCACGTTGTTTCCAAAAAACCTATACAATAATCTGTTGTAAGCATATGTGTTAGTGTGCACTTACCTAAATGCAGATGCAGCAGCAACACGAGAGTTTTATACATGATCCAAGTGATATTTCCTCGGTGCGGTGTGAGTGAGTGCGAATCGCGGGCGAATAAGCGGCAGAAGTGTACCGGTGTGTTGGTATGCGTATGCGCCCACGCCTGTGCTGCCACCACACACGACTCGACCTTCCTGCGACGCTTTTGTGGCTGCTACTTTCACTCTAATCGACGCTTATATGCGTATGTAGCCTTTCAATTTGCGTTCTTGTTGTTGTTGCTGCAATTGTTGTTAACAGCAGCAAGCTGCTTTGATGTTGCTGATATTTTACTTTTATTCCTGTGTTGTTGCTGCTGCTGCTGTGTTAGTTGTCTGCCGCACCCGATCGCTCACAGGTTTCCACGCTGATTTTTATGCTTTATTCTTTTGTTTTTGTTTTTGTTTTGGTTTCTGGTTATTGTTTTTGTTTTTGCTTGAGTGTGTGCGTGAAGCTCGTGTTGTTTTGTTTGTATTTATAAATATGCCTGTTTGTTGTTGTTGTGCTGCCTGCTGTTGTTGCTCCACCGTTTTGTTGTGCAGACTCCAACGTTTCGTTTTAGTCTTCCAATTCTGTCTCTGCTGCTGTCCTTTGTGCTTGCGGTGCCTGCTGTTGTCTCACTTCGCTGCGTGTCGTTGCTGTTGGTTATATTTATGTGTCAGTGTGTGTGTGTTTGTTGTGCAAAATGCGTGGGCGTTTGAGTGAAATTTTCGAGTTTTCGCCTTCTACTTTTCGCCTTGCCCGTGTGTCCTTTTGCTTTAGTGCGCTTGCTAAGCTGAGTAGCAGTACCGTTAGTTGTTCTTTTGTCAATCAGTCTCGCTGTCAATTCGCTGAATTTATTTTCGCCTAAATTCCTTTAACTGGCCTGCATTTTTCATATTTTTTTATGTTAAATTTATTTTATTATTATCTTTTCAATTTCGCTGTTTTGAGGTTATTTATAACTGTTTGTTTAATACTTTGCTGTTGTCAATTTCGGTATGTGTGTTTTCGCCTTATTAACGAGTATGCTTCGTCGCTAGATCGGCTCACTGCTGCTGCCTTCTGCGTTTCCGCTGCTGCCCACTGGATTCTTCGTGGTTAAATTGCCTCGTAGCACCGCGCCTGAGCTGTTGCTTTGTTGTTTTTTTTTTTTAATGTATTTTTAAACGTAAATTTAATTGACGCCTTAATGTGTTGGATTTATTTATTGGCGTTACGGTTGTATCTGGCGACAGCACTTTATTTTTTGTATGATTTGAACTGTGTGTGCTTTGTTTTTGTAATCTTTGAATTTAATCTTCTATTTTGCTTATCTTTTCACTGCCAGTTCGATATATAGTATATTTGTGAGCAGTTTTTCACGGGTTCGCCGACTTTAGCGCAGCTTTTGTAGCGGCCAGAGCCCCTTTCGTCTTCTCTTATAGCCACGTTTCATCGTTTTCGTAGATTGCGACGATGTCGTTCGGCCATTAATTTAGTTTTGCGCATTTTGCGTAGAATTTAATTCATTGATTTTTGGAAAAACACTTTTAATTTTGCCAGTAATTAGGGTAATGGGTGTGTATAAATAGCGTTACTGGCGGGGGGTGTGGTTGGGTTGGGAATATTTTGCTTCACAATTTTTGCACTTGCTTTGTTTTTGTTGCTATTTGCTATTTGCTGTAAATAAGTGAATATAATTTATGATAAATACTGCACATGCACTGTAAAAGAATTGTAAGCGCTGAAAATTATTGCTTGCTGCTGTTATAAGTGTATTTGATGCTAAATTATTGTTGCTGCTTTTCTGTAAACGCTTCTTGTGTAGTTCGAAGGGCGTGTGCCTGATAACTCTGCTGCTGCTGCTGCTGTTGGTGCTTATCGCTGTTGTTGTTATTGCTGTTGCCGCTGCCCAGCCTCTGTGCATGCCTGTGCCTGCCACTGAGCAACCGTGTCCGTGGCACATACAGCATTTATAATCAGGTTAAGGTGCAGCATTCAACAACAACAACAAGCCATAAGAGTAAATTGCACTATTTTTGTTTGGCAAACAAGCATATTATAAATATATAAATTTTCGCGTAGTTTAATGAAATATTATCGTAAAAAATTCAAAGTTTTTGTATCTTTATTAAAAAAAAAAGAAATCTTTTTTTATATTTACTTTCACACGCAAGCTTTTTCACTTGCTACACTTGCTGTAACACAATTTCACTTTCTAAACTTTCGTTTTAAGGCTTTTCTTGCCGCTGTGAAGCGGTCTATCCTACAAATTTTCTGAAAAAAGTGTTAAAAACACATTTTCATAAAATTTAATATACATTTTCTACGTTGCTGCCACTTTTTCACAGCTACTTTTGCTGTTTTGTGTGTGTGTATGTGCACACGCACACACTCGCGCACTGCTTATTGCGACGGCGAAGACGCCCACAGCCTACATTGTCGGTGTAGCGCTGTCGTCGTGTCGGGCCACGGTCACGGAGTTAGCCAGTCAGCTAGTCGTGCAGCACAGCCAAGTCAGCTAAATTTACCAACAGCAACAAAGCCAGCAGCGCCAAACCCCAGCGGCCAGCCTGCTGCCTGCCACATGCACTGAAAACCCGAAGCAAATGCGTTGGAGTATGAGCAGCTGTTTGTTTTTTGCACTGAAAATTTCGCCTTACTAACTGCACAGTTACCGTTATGAGCATTTAAATCATTTTCAATTTTCACTTTTAACTTTTTTTGTTGAAATTTTCACACACTCTTTGCATTGATACACTTTAAAGCTGGGCTTGTGCCCGAATTTCGCTAAGCCCACACGTAGACACGCACACAGCAGCGGAGAAAATATTTTCACACCAATTTATTTTTTTTATATAAGATTTTCATTCTGCGCCTTACTCTATATATGTGTGTGCATATGTATTTGCAGAGCAATTTTCACTACACTTCAATTGACATTTTGCTGCATTGTGCGTTTGATTTGCAGCTTTTTCACTTTAGTTTCCACGCAATTTTGCACAATTCCCGATAAAACTATTTCTTTTGCCTTCGAATTGTACAATTTTCTGCGAGCTGCGGTTGTGCACAGCATTTACCGTTGCTGTTTCGGATTTTTCTTTTGGAATTTTTTCTGATTTGCTTAGCTGCGTTTTGCCAGCCACCGAGCACCGTGCACAGCGCTGGAAAAATTGGTCGTCGTCGTCGACGAGGAAACGTACTCAAATAACGCGTAGAATCGCAACGGCAGCTCGCCACGGTCGCCAGCCAGCCAGCAGCCAGTTTGGACAGCAAACGTTCTTCGGCTTCAATGCAAGGAACTCACACACACACACAGATGTAGATATGAGTGTTACGAGAGCAAAGCTGAGATTCGTCTCAACGGATACATATAGTCACGTTCATTGTAAAATGTTCCAAACGCTCACACACACACACACGCACACAGTGAGGTACGCGCTCCTCGCAAACTTTTCATGGTTGGATGCTGTGTTGTTGTTGCAGTGGCACAGCATCACAGCAAAAGCTGCACACGCTTTGTCGTACGGCCTTGCGCATTGCCTTGTGAATTCGCGAAAGCTCAGCGCCGCTCGTGAGCATAAAGCTGCACTTCGTAAGCGCACGAGCGGCTTTGTGGCGTTGCGAGCGCCGAAGGGCGGTTCAATTTGAATAGGCGAGCACATTACAAGAGCGCTCAAGCATGTCAATTAGTTATCTACATACATATACTTTCATACATCCATACATGTTGACTCGTGTGACCGTTGTATATTTTCGTAACTGCAGTTATTGGCGCTTAAACACCCAGTCACCCACTAATTGACAACCTGACTCACACTCTCCATATTTATCAGTTGATTTCATTTCTTTATATACAAACATATACATATATGTACACTGGATATTCATATGGGAAGTAAATTGGTGATTCGAGGCTGCAGCCCGTTTGGTTTGTGTACAATTTAAGAAGTGAAAATTAATCTTTCCGTCTCTTTTGTTGTTTATTGGATCAGGGCTGGAGTCTAGGTTCGCATGACCTACTCTATTCCCTTGATCGAGATGTCCTGTTAGGTGTAATGAATCGGTTAAAAAAAAAAAAAAAAAAAAAAAAAAAAAACTTTAAAGAAAAAAGTCTCTGGCTACTAAAAAGGCAAATAAACCAGAGTGTTGATTTCTGAAATGTTCGGTTCATCTATTTTTTCGATATTTATTCCTGATCTCTCCACCGGAGTTGAGGTCTTCCTCTTCCTTTGCGGATTCTGCGTCGAATACCTTTAGAGCTTTATGTTTTCATCCAAACGGACCCATGATCTAGCCGGCGTAGACCCTGTCTGTTGATTCCCTGAACTATGCCAATGCCGTGTCTAGTAGAGGCCATCATTCCATTGACTGCGGTACTCGCTGTTGCCAATGCGCATAGGATCATGAAGCTTCGGCAGAACTTTTCTCCCGAACACTCCCAAGACCGACTCATCAGATGAGACTTGTGCTCGTATTATTTTCTCCAGCAATTTATTGAAGAAGTCCTTGTCTAAAACTTCACTTGATATCTAATGGCTCAGAGAGTCCTTTCTCGTTCCTGACGGAGCTTTTGGTGTTGCCCAATGTCAGCTTCACTACCGTTTTAGCTTTACGGGGTAGCAAGTTCAGTCAGTTCAGCACCATAGAGGAAGTTTCCTTTCGTTTAGTCATTCCTTCAGAGTTCGACCTTAGCGATTTGAAGGCAAATATTATATCCGGGTGAAGTGTAGGGTTAGGGTTAAGGACTACGTGGGATCTTTGATCAGCCATCTAACCTAACCTAACCGAACCTAGGGCTAACGGAGCACAAATACGCCACTTATTCATTATTAAATTGGTAACTACCGGAATAAAGGTAAAATATTTTACAACTCTTCCATAGTCTAGGGTTTCATTGATGCTTCATAAAGTTTAGGGTATTTCCCTGCAGTTAAGAATAGTGCATATTTTCAGGGTCTCATTTTCCTACTAAATTCGTGACAATACATCAAGTACCTAAAACAATAACTATAACAAATAAGCCTATTGATTCGCATAACGGTTGGAAGAAACATAAAT